TGTAACGTAAACATGTATGTATTACTAGTTCGCGTAGCCACTGCGCTCAGCTTTGATAGTCAGCGGCATAAAGTGGTGTCCGCATACGTCGAGTCTCTCTTCACCGGAAGTGAGGCGACAATTGCTCGCGCTAGTTCCCTTTATTTAGACATCTTGAATCATGCCTCAAAATCACTATCCGAGATGGCATCGAAGACCCACTGATCCACTTCTTCGTCCGTGTCGACGGCCAGCCACTCTCCCTCTGCACACGAAATAGTAGTTCATTACATCAAAGCTGAATAGAGCATGACTGGTAGGCCTCTGACGCACCGCTGCACGTTTCCCAGCCCTGCATGTCCTCTGCAAGCCGCTCTGCCTGCGAGCGTGATGGTTTCTTCTGCGTCGTCTTCATTTTCTTTGCCTTCATTTTGGTGGTAGACACGGCTGTGCGCGTCCTCTTCTTCCCCTTTCCCACAGCCATAATCGGTGACCACATATGCGTACGCTGCGCGTGTCGAATTGGCCGCGATGCTGCTGAACGTGCGTCATGTTGTTTAGACTGAGCATCCGCAAGTTCACTGATCTGCGAGAGCACATTCAGCTGAGACGTGGGCGACAGCCGAAGCTCTCTGCGTGTGTTTTGCAAGCAAAACTTTGTATCTGAGCCTGCACACACATCGATTTTGTATGATCAGCGTTGCCAGCAGCCCCCCCCCCCGCCGCCACCTGCCACATACCTTGAGCTGATCCTTGTCCAGAACACGCCTCATTTGATATCTCCACCGTCTGCTGCATCAGCGGCTGTCGACGGTCCTCCATTGTAGCTGAGTGGATCCAAATGCACGGAGACAAGAGCGAGTCTTCATCGCCCAGCACCGTCTCGGAATCACTGCTAGTTGTGCTGGGCATATTAAATACTGTACGAAGTTGAAGATAGCAAACCGTACTTAAAAAGAGAATCCCGATCAACGCTTTTCGCAATAAGCCACAATCGCATTTGCCACGACTATGGAGCTGCGTTTCCGGGGCAAGAAGAACGCTGAGGACGCGGATACCGTCGGCTTTTGGTAGATGTCAAAGGCAGCGAAGTGTATGTCCTAATTGTTCATGAAGTTTCTCACTGTGTTGCATCTTTGCAGGCTGTGCGAGGGCCGGAAGAAACGTCGCGTTGTGGGCAACAAGACGCAATCGTTAATCTCGGCTGCGACCGAGTGGGAACTTAACCAGGTGCTGGAGAACACGGATCTGCAGTTTATGAATGAGTCCACGGGGCTTCTGGTGCCTCGTGATGAGGAGATAGGCAAGTTTATCTCGGAGCGCGAAGTAGTGCGGCTCTGCTCGATGGCGGAACTGGACGCGCTGCTAGAGAAGTTCGCCACACGCGATCAGGATGTGGCAGCGGAAATGATGAACCCCAAGGGTACGACACCAATCGGCGCAGCCCTGTGAGACTCTTTGCCTTTGATTTTTTTCTAGCTAAAGGCTCGATCCTGACTGTGAACGCATGATTGCTCCAGGTCCCGACTTAAGAAGATGAGTGTTACCAATCCGACGTTGAAGAAGCTGCAACAGACGCTGGATGGGCACACGAGCCCCCATTCCGCGACCAAATGTAGCGAAGCCGATGCGCTGGACCAATTCCCAGAGGTGGATCCGATCTTTGAGAGCGGGGAGATCGAAGAAATTACTGGAGACTCTGGAAATCAACCGATAACGTGTGATATGTGTGAAGTGTCATGGCCTGGTGATGCTTCAGAAAGTATGTATCGGTGGATGAAGCTGGGGATTGTCACGCACCAAGGCTGTGCGCAGTTCACTGCGGATGTATTGGCGCAACATCCCGATATCATAACTCGTGAAGAGTTTCTGAGCATGTCCAAGACTCCAGTGTCGAGTCTGAATAAGCCTGGCACTTTCCACGTAACGGTGCATCGTGCAATGGAACTTCCAGGGACGCAGATAATTGGCAAGCAGACGCCTTATGCCAGGCTATCGCTGCTCCCTTGGAAGGAGCCAATGCAGACCAAACCCGTTGAAAATGGTGGCCGTAATCCAGTGTGGATCAACACACATGATAACGCGATGCAGTTTTCACACATGTACAACAGCACTATCACACCAATCCCGCTACTGGAAGTCGAGGTGTATAATTACAACTACCTTGCTGACGACCAGATTGCTTGCACGCTGGTGGATATGAGTCCGTTACTTCGATACCCTAACATTGAGGCCAAGAGATGGTTTACGCTGTCTTCTCGAGCCCTGCTAAGCCAAAGCACGGGTCAGCCCAAGGTTATGCTTGCGATCGAGTTTGTACCGACCGAGGGGGAGATCAGTACAACCAACGCGCACAAGTTTCGTGTCCATCAGCTCAAAATCATTGGTCTTGCGATACCGATTTGCGCAGTGTGTACGTCACGACTGTGATTATCAAGATTATTTTGACTGCTCATCTGTGTGTTGCGTTGCATTTTAGGCGACCGAACAATTATGAATGCGCTGAAAAATATCTGGGGTTATCGATGTGAGCTGTGCGGGATTGACGTGCACAAAGGCTGCATGATGAAAGCTACAATTCAGTGTGAATGTGTTGCCCAGGAATTATTAGGCGCAGATCAGGAGGAAAAAGAGCGCGGAGGAATCAACTTTCGCGTATTGAATGATGGCGTTTCGCGTCCATCCGGAGAACTTTTCGTGACTTTCCGCGGCTTACACTTGTGCACTAAACACTGTCGGGACGACTTCCACGCGAAGAACATTTTTGAAGGGGACTCGTATTGCCGTCTTAACTTCGACGGTATCGTGCATGAGACCAGCCCAGTACTGAAAAGTGCCGACCCAATGTACATGGAGCACTTGTGCTTTAAAGTCCGTCACCCAAACTCGATCTTTCGCATCTATGTGATCGATTTCAACTCGGATCAGTGCATTGCACAACTGGATGTTTCACTCTTCCAGCTTCTTCAACGCGAAGCTGACAAGTTTATTCGCACGAATTCCGTGCTGATGAAGTTGCAGGACCCACTTCGTCACTTGAGCCTGAACAATGAGGCGAACCAAGCGGCAATCAACGATTCGTGGACTGCGTTGCCAATTCTGGGCGACAAAGACCATTACAAGCTATCGCCACCCCCGGGATCGAAACAGCAACTAGGTGAGAATCTTGGCTTTGTGCTCATCGATTTGGAATATGTGGAACACAAAGAAGACTTGCTGCGCGTCCGGGTGGACAACGACTCTTCTCTACTTGAACGGGAGGAGAAGGAGTTCTCGGTGGAATCGCTGCGGATTACAATCGAGCGGTTTGGACGGGCAGTGAAGCTTTTCCAGGGGATTGATGCTGAATATGCCAGCGTCATTTCATGGAAGAACAAGAAGAAATCTGCAGTTTTCTTTACTGCGTTCGTGTACGGCTGTGTGTTTGCCGACCTGGAGTACGCCTTGTCGTACGTATTTGGAGGAATCCTCTTGTATATGCTATATCGTCTACATCTGCGTCTAGAAGGGGCTTATGTCGCACGTTGGGTTGGATATGAAGAATATGAACGTGAACTCGAGGAGGCGCAGAAGCTGTACAGACCACTGGCGGACTTGCACGTTGCTGTTCACGAGGCACACCTCTCCGAGAAAACGGACAGTCTGCTTATGGAAAGTCAGTCCCATCTGAAGGACGTTTCATCCTCGAAGCTTGGCTTCTACGTTCGTATCAAGTATCGCCCCAACGACAAGAAGTCGGAGACGGGCGACATGGTTTTAATTCCTTCTGGCTACGATGAAACTACTATCGCCTGGACGAATGTAGTGGGGAAAAGCCGCAAGCCGACGTGGCGCAAAAGCTCTCTTTCTTCTTTCGGATCCATACCTCCTGCGACAATCCGGAAAGTGCTTCCGTTCCGAAATTCCAACATTTCTTGGCGTCATGATCCTCGGACCTGTAAGTGCGATCAATGCTCTGCATACCAGCGAAACTTGAAAGAAGAAGGGCATGAGTCTGTTTCCTGTGGTGTCGATCACCATGCCTACTACTTTCCGATCCCACAAGCGTCTAGGAAAAACTTTTCTGGTCGTGATGATCTGGTGCCGTGGTCGTCTTTTCCTGGTCTTTTGCAGTTCGACTTGTGTATTTCATTGAGCGGTGAAGCGAAGGAGACACCAGATTTAGTAGCTGCGAGTGCTACGATCCCGCTTCATAGTCTACTCAAGCGAGGTGACAACTCGAGTGAGATGCTCCTTCCGCTGTCTTCTTTTTCGGTTGCAGACGATTCCGTGGATTGCATTCCACGAAACTCGGGGAAGTCAGAGAACGATTATATGCTAGTGCGTGTTGAGTTTCGGGTCCCTGAAGGAAGTAAGATGCTCTCGAGTGATAAGCTCTTACTCAACGACACGTCGGAGCGAAAGGAATTGATACCTGTCCAGCCAGCGATTGCACGGAAAAAGCGTCCTGTTAGTCATGTTGACCGCAGCTTTTCCGAGTTTGTGTGCGAAAGCATGGTCGAGAAAGAAAAGTCCAAGATCATCGGAGCAAACCTCTTTGACGCCTTTTGGAAAGTGAAAGACACTGTCAGACAGCTGCAGAACGAGATTGGCCGTGCGTGTGGAGCTCTAGCATGCGCTGAAAATCTTTTGAACTGGACCCATCCATGGAAAACGGCAACTGCTTTGGTCGTGTTGGCGATAATGACGCTCATTTTTTCGGTTATTCGAGGGCGTTGGGCAATTCTTCTATTTGGGCTTACGGAATTTGGTGCGGTGTTTGTGGACGATGCCCCAACTAGCAAGCGCGTTCGAAAAGTTCTGTGGAATTACCTGTCATCGCTCCCTACAGACCAGGATTTAATTGATCTGTATGGACCTGAGCGTACTGTGTACATGAAGCAGAGGAAGAGGCAGCAAGAAGACGACGAAGAAACGGCAGTCCGTCTTCGCTACCACGCGCTGTGGATTGGCAATATTTCATCGAAGCTCGAGGGAGATCACTATGCTAAGGTGCTTTCATCCCGCCATGCCAAGTTGTCTTGTACTTCCTTGCTGATGCTGTTTACGTACTGCTTTTATGTTCTACTAGACCTACTTCATGGTGTATCGCCCGTATCGCTTTTTAATGTGGAAAAGTGAAGATGACGCTGAAGAGGGCTCTCCTCCGCTGCAGCAGCTCGTGGTTGGTGCTATTTCCATTGATAACATGAGTTGGAATGATGTGCTTACTTGAGGGTTACTGTTCTGGCGCGATGACAGTTTGAAAAGCCACAAGCTGTCATCGACAAAAGCGATGACAAGGCATTCACTTTCAGCGTGTCGGGAGTAAGAAGTTCTGGTGGCGAAGGTGAGAGAAAGCACTAGCGGAAATATTGCCCCTCTCCCCCGATAACCATGCTAACCGCTTCATCTTATGTAACTGTGCTCGACAGAAGTCCGAGTGTTCAAAATGGAGTCTTTGGAAATGAAGGATAGTCTCTTGGATACTATTCGCCAGAGCTTCAAAGTGTAGCTTTCCAGTGGCCGCGCTTGGGAAATTCTCGATAAAAAATCCGGTTTCATTCTCCTACTCCCATAACATCGCTATATGCCAGCGTCATAATTCTCTGGATTTAAATCCATAGTTGTTACAACGACCTGAACGGAGGTCTGAATTCTTAAACCAAAGCACCTTTTACACATAGCAAATTTTGATGGGATAATTTTTAAATTAAATCTTAAAAAAATTTAATTTAAAAATTATCCCATCAAAATTTGCTTTCGTCAAAATGGAATTTATTTAAAAAAAATTAAGATATCGAAAAGAAATAAAACCTGAAAAAAGAAAAAATGATAAAAAAAAAAATAATAATATATTATTAAATTTATTATTTAAATCGAAAAAACTTCATCAAAAGGTTGCAATCATTTCATATCGGAAGACGATGTCGCTTGTAACTCCGTCCACCTCGAGCACAATGATGGTCACTCATACTAGCGACATCCTGCGGAGTTACGTTGGACTCTATTTTTATCTTTCGTTTAATAATGGAGCTCTCGTAGAATCAATCTACACATAATGGCACGACCTCATTGGTTTTATCAAAAGCGCATTCCTAATCTAAATATCAAAAATCGCCCAATTCTCTGGTATGTACTAGAACGTACCTAAAAACGGCACCATAACTGTTGCACTGTCCCAAAATGTCTTCAAAAATGGAATCTTTCACGTGAATGCGCGGCTTACTGTGAGCTTAGTGCTGAATCCACGCGGCTTAGTAGGCACTAATAAAACCGAGAAAATAATGATAAAAGCTTAGGACAGAAATATTCCCTCCGAGAACGCACAATGTAAAGCAAGCGACGCTCGATATAGAAACAATATATCATCTAGGTCTAAACCAATAGTAGACAAGGCGAGAACGATAACGTCTAGCACAAAGCCGACAAAAAATGCATACTTAGTACTCTATCGTTTAGCCCAAATTTACTTCCTTGAACAAGCTATAGCTCTACTGTGACGACTGGTGAGAGCACGGCGCAGAGGAACAGCGACGAGGAACGAGTCGCGAGGCGAGGAGCAAAGCGGAGGAGGGCGGCGAGAGTCCAACGATGGGGACTTGAAGGTAAGGCGTAGAAGGCTACTGATGTGCCTCGAAGAAGGTAAATTGGAAAGTGAGATTGAAATGATTAGTTGTTTGTCGGCTACGAGGAAGTGCTTGTTAGCAATCCCTTGGTATCCTATGTAAGTATATGCATTTCACTGTACTAGATTCTAAGTAGTCCTTGAGTCGAATCTTGAAGTAGCGTAGCGTAGTAGTGAGCCGCGGTTCATTTGAACCGGGTCAGAATCTTCATAGTGAATTCAAATGAAAAAGAATGACTGTCATTGAAGTTCCATGTTTGGCAATACTCGTCCAAGCATGGTGATTGCCTTCCGGTCAGGCGTGTGTCTGCCTGGCCGCTCATTGGCAACTTAAGAAGACAGTTGGCAGTCAGCAAAGACAATGTAATGTAATGTATTACATTTATCGCGTAGCCTACATACTCCGTGCTAGACTCTATATTGCTAGTCAGCGGGGTATAAAAATGTGGTGAAGTGCTTTCTCAGAAATAAGAGAATGGACCTAACGCGGGGTCACTATCCCGAATCAGTGACAATTTCAAGTGATTAGAGAGGATTTGGGTTGTCCGGCGCGGATGCAAGTTGTCTGTGGTGGATTAGCCATGACGAACAACACCCCGTATGAAATGACGATGGATCTGGTATGAGTGATGTACGGGAAGGCAAGATCCACCAAGACCTATCTCGGATCCACCCTTACCTGGATTCACTTAGTTGGATATGGGATATACTATATACGGGTGGATCGAGTGTGGATCCTACGAAGGAATGATGGTAGGTGCCATCTGAAGGTGGATCTAGCAGCCACGGCTAGTGAGAAGTCAAGATCCACCGCGAGGTGGCCCGGATCCCATACTTCCGAGTTCGGATCCAAGGAGGGAGGATCCCGCATAGAACGACCTGGATCCAGGATGCTGGGATGATGGATACAGTGGATTTCATACTTTCGTGGGACAATGGAGATCACAGACGACTGCAAGAAGATGTTGGATGATTGGAGAGCTCAGATCCATGACGAGTGTACACTTCAGTGAAGTGGATCCAAGCAACCTGGATCCAGATGATTGTACCCATAATAGGGTGACCATATTGATTACGCCATGGATCCGGTGGATCTGAAGATAATACCGCTGGGAGGAATGTTAGGCTCTCCGTGCTTCCCCTCCCTCCCCCTCGTCCTTAGTGAAAATGATGCTTGCTGTGCCGCTCTCCTGCTCCGGTCTCTTCTTCAGTGTCGGGCAGCCTCAGGTCCTGTTTCCAACCGGTGCCAACTGCTTTTGTGCCATGATCGTAGTATCTGTTCTTCGCCTTGCACGTATACGACTCACCGGACGGTAACAGGTTCGACGCCGAGTGGCTCGATCTGTAGTATCTGTTCTGGTTCCTTTTGCCTCCCTCGCCGAGACCTTCGTCCGCTGTTCACTGAGTACAAAGTCCATCGCTGGAGTCCGCCCTACGCCTTGGCCTCGATGCGCGTCCAGTTCATCTTCCTGGTCCATGCCGTTAATGGCCCGCTCGCTACGGCGAGCCCGGTCATAGTCGCAGCGAAGCCTTCTGCGCGCCGTGATCGAGACCACAGTGTACATCACCGCACTACCTTGCCCACAGAGACGCCTACACAGTCCCGTCAAAGCTAGACGCTGCCACGAGGACGGCGTCCGCAGAGTGGCGCCGAGCTGAGCCTCGGCGCCATCTACCGGGAGGGCGCTACTCCAACCCGACCAAAAACAGCAAAGACAAGTAGGAAGAAAATAGAAGAAAGTAGGACGCATTGGTACCAACATCATGGCCATCGCTGGCTGTGACGTTGGTGCGTCGTTACATCTACTCTCGATTCGTTTAACGTTGCTAAAAACAATTATGAAACGATAGTACACGCTTATATGCTCGAGCATTGATTTAAATTCAGACACCGTAAGAACCAAGTTATACATAATTCTTCTCTAGTTGTACTGTTCGAGTATGGTTCTGGATAATAATCTTCGAATACATTAAAATTATTATTTTGTTGGTCGGTAGGGCAAGCTGACACGTTTCGCACGATGAAAGCAAGTGCTTCAATGCGTACTGGAAAATTTTGAGCATCTGAGATCACCATAAATGTAATGGCCCTGATAATAAAGAAGCATTAATATGGGATTGAATTTGTCAGCTTTTCTGGAGGTCTATCGCTTAAAGATCCGCATCAACCATCAGTACGATATACTCCGTAGTAACCATTTCCACACGAAATGGGATGTGGCTTGTAACTCAATACGAAATACAAATTAAACAGAATGATGGCCGTGAAACGCACTCCTACGAGCAACCAAAGCTGGGAATGCAAGTAACCAATCTTTAGCCAATACTTAAGTAATACAGATTTTTTTCGGACCAAATGATGGGAGGCGAAAGTTCATTCTGCGAGAATCAATCTACACATAATGGCACGACCTCATTGGTAGAGTGGTAATCTACACATAATGGCACGACCTCATTGGTAGAGTGGTAACCATTTCCACACGAAATGGGATGTGGCTTGTAACCCAATACGAAATACAAATTAAACAGAATGATGGCCGTAAAACGCACTCCTACGAGCAACCAAAGCTGGGAATGCAAGTAACCAATCTTTAGCCAATACTTAAGTAATACAGATTTTTTTCGGACCAAAATGATGGGAGGCGAAAGTTCATTCTGCGAGAATCAATCTACACATAATGGCACGACCTCATTGGTAATAAAAATAGAGTCCAACGTAATCGAAATTACGTTGGACTCTATTTTTATCTTTCGTTTAATAATGGAGCTCTTGTAGAATCAATCTACACATAATGGCACGACCTCATTGGTAGAGTGGTAATCTACACATAATGGCACGACCTCATTGGTAGAGTGGTAACCATTTCCACACGAAATGGGATGTGGCTTGTAACCCAATACGAAATACAAATTAAACAGAATGATGGCCGTAAAACGCACTCCTACGAGCAACCAAAGCTGGGAATGCAAGTAACCAATCTTTAGCCAATACTTAAGTAATACAGATTTTTTTCGGACCAAAATGATGGGAGGCGAAAGTTCATTCTGCGAGAATCAATCTACACATAATGGCACGACCTCATTGGTAATAAAAATAGAGTCCAACGTAATCGAAATTACGTTGGACTCTATTTTTATCTTTCGTTTAATAATGAAGCTTTTGTAGAATCAATCTACACATAATGGCACGACCTCATTGGTAGAGTGGTAATCTAAAAGTGGTAATCTACCAATGAGGTCGTGCCATTATGTGTAGATTACCACTCTACAAATGACTTTATGGGATAGTGCGCTCTTTTGTGAATTCTATATTTAATATTAAAAAGTAAAAAAGTTCAACCGAATATAAATATATGGAGCTACAGTACCCTTTTTGTATCTTCTGCTAGAATTAATTAGCCCGGTAATTTTACCTGCGAGGATAGTAGCTCTAAAACCATCGATTCGAAATGATGATTTTATAAGGCCGTTCATTTCATTTTTATATGCGTTAACATTAGGAACGCACCAAAGATGGTCCGAATTAATCCCTATTAGGCTGTTCGTACTACTTGACCGTAGCATACCAGGAATATGTCGATGTAGTATAAAATAAATTGTCATCGTCT